AGCAGCCTCCATCCCATTTCTGGCATTATCTCTGCCTGAGCTGTTACTATCTACTAATCAATGACTCTCAGATCTGGCTGCACATTGAAATCACTTGAACAGCATTTTATAACCAGCCAAGCCGTTGTAGGACCACCGGTGACTCTTATCTTAAGACCTCAGCTAAGTCAGTCAACTTCAAACCATGTGCTAAGTGTTTACCAACAAAAACTCATCTCATACAATCTGTAAAACTTTAGAGCCAATAATGAACCCAAATAAAAGCTTAAGAAAGCAGCTGCTACGTCATGCCTTGATTTTTATTCCATCACCAATTAACTCCAGAGTCAAAGCTTTAAAGTCATAAAGGGAACTTTCCTCCCCTGTTCATTTCTGAAAATTTTTTCAGATTTAAAATATTAAGATCCTTCAGAACAAGGACAGTTAAGCTTTTGACGTTTAAATTTCAGAGTGAAAAAAAAGCATCAGTTTGAACAAGTAAAGATACAAAAGCATTAGGAGTTCTAAAGGTAGTATACTCAGGATGATGTCAGCAATTACGTTGCTTTTTCTAAGTGATTAAATCTATTTTACTAAGATAGGAAACTTAGGTAGCATCACTAATTGGATATCCAAAGCAGAGGAAGAAATCGCTTTTGGCCACCCCCTTCCCTCCAAAACAGCCTTTTAACTTTGTAACCAGTTTCTTCAATGGTGGTGTTCTCTTAAAAAGACAAACCAAACAACAACAAAACAACCCTACTATTTCCACTTTGTAGGAAACAAGTACAACATATAAAAGTAATTTAGTTTTCATATAAATAACTATCAAATTAGCTGGTCAACTTTCATATATGTGAGAACATATGCATGCATTAGATAAAAATATATCTATTATGTATGAGTGTATATTTGAATGTATATATTAGATATGAACACAAAGTTACATGCTAACTTTAATCTCAAAGGAAAATCAAAACTGTACTCAGTGGCTTTTGAGGTCTAAATGCTTAGCCTCATGATAAATCCCAAAAAACAACAAAGTAGATACTTTTGCATATTAATAAAGGGATCTAAAGCAGAGCACAGTAGCACCATCGTCCCAGCTACTCATGAGAATGAGACAGGAGGCTCACTTGAGCCAGAAGTTCAAGGCCAGCCTGAGCAACATACCAAGATCCCATCCCATCTCTTAAAAAGGGCAAGGGGGGAGATATAATCTAGAAATTGGAATGTTTGGGATTAAGGCAGTGCATTGGAAGCCAAGATGATAGACTCAAAGTGATCACTGGATTAGACCCCTTAAGGTCCAGGGCTTTGCCAGCACAAGACCCTAAGGCAGCCTTAATTGTGTACCGTTGCCTCCACTGAAATGTAAGAAAGTACCATCTATTGCAGGTAATTTATAATATTGTATAAGGCTAAAAGTAATTTAAATGTGTAAAGGCACTGAAAAATTTTAAACCTTTGCAATGAATTATATAAAGTCTTTAGATAAGCAGTAGCTGAGGTCAATAAAACAATTACTTTTCCTAAAATAATCAGTCATTCTTGCTCATTTATTACAGAAATAATGTAAGTGAGAAGGAGGATGTATACATATACATCCTTGCTCATTTATCATCCAGGATAAATGAGGATGTATCCATATGTATATATGCATATATTGTATATGTGTATATATATGTATATATTATATATTATATATATTCATTTTACCTGAAATGTGTGGGGGAAAAAAGTATTATGGTGAGTTAATGATTAAAAATAAATTACCTGTTAAAATGTAGACTATTATATCATACAGTGGTCAAGAAAGGAGTACAAGCAATGAGCACAATTGGCTAGGCTTCTGAAGACCTGGCTTCTTTTTCCTGGTTTTGCTACTAATTTGCTGTGGGACTTCAACAAAGTCCCTCGGTGGCTATATAGGCTTCAGATTCTCATTTGTCAAGTTTGCTAGAATGAAACCTGTGACAGGGTAGGGCGCCGGCCACACACACCCGGGCTAGCAATTTGAACCCAGACCGAGCCAGCTAAAACAACAATGACAACTACAACAACAAAAACAACAAGAAAAATAGCCGGGCATTGTGGCGGCTGCCTGTAGTCCCAGCTACTTGGGAGGCTGAGGCAAGAGAGTAGCATAAGCCCTGAGGTTGCTGTGAACTGTGATGCCTAGGGCAACAGCTTGAGACTGTCTCCAAAAAAAGAAAGAAAGAAACTTGTTACAATATTAAAATGACTTGTTAGGACCATGTAAAACTAGGAAAATTACAGCGGAATTCTTTGGAACAGTAATACTGGGGAGTGAGGACTAAACTAGGCCTCATGGGCTATTAGAGTAATAAGTAATAATTAGTTTCAAAGTAAGAAATTTGCTTACAAAATCTAAAATTATATTATGATTGTACCTTGCCACCTCCCAAATACTCTTAGATATTTTTCCCCACAATTAAACATTTTTTAATATTCTAGGTTTTGTAAAAAGAACAAAATTACTGAATATTATTCAACAAATACTATATAACAGGCACTTGGAACATGCATAAGGAATATAGGTAGGTGGAAATACAGAAGTAATTTTGTATGTTTAGATAGTATAACTTCTCTGAATAGAATAATGTGAGGGTAAAATGAAACAGTAGTGGTATTATTTTAATAAGATGCTAAAGTATTTTTCCACATATCCCTACTTAAATTTGGAGAGGGGAGGGCAAAAGTCCTTAAAATATATTTAAGAATTAGAGCACTTTTGTACCTTCTTTTAAAGCAAAGAACTTGTTGGGCGGCACTTGTGGCTCAGAGAGTAGGACACCAGCCCCATATACGGAGGGTGGCGGGTTCGAACCCAGCCCTGGCCAAACTGCAACAAAAAATAGTCCCGCATTACGGCAGGCACCTGTAATGCCAGCTACTCAGGAGACTGAGTCAAGAGAATCAGCTAAGCTCAAGAGCTGGAGGTTGCTGTGAACTGTGATGCCATAGCACTCTATCAAGAGCGATAAAGTGAGACTCTGTCTCTAAAAAAAGAAAGAAAGAAAAAAGCAAAGAACTTGTCAGTTAAACCTGTAAATTCTCAAAGGTGAAATATAAAATCTCTTACAATAATAATGCTTATCACTAAAAATGTCTTTCATTTCTTCATCACGGAGCCCCCTGACCTCACCCCAAATCATCTGATTTCTGAATACCCATGGGTGTATATGTTGGGTACATGGGCATCTTTTTAATATAGAATCTTAATCTTTTTCAAATCTAATTTAATTCTATCTTACTTTGTGGTCCCTGAATACATTTCAGTCTTTTTTTTTTTTTTTGAGACAGAGTCTCACTATGTTGCCCTCAGTAGAGTGCTGTCCTATCACAACTCACAGCAACCTCCAACTCTTGGGTGTAAGCGATTCTCTTGCTTCAGCCTCCCAAGTAGCTGGGACTACAGGTGCCCACCACAACGCCCGGCTATTTTTGTTGTTGTAGTTGTCATTGTTGTTTAGCAGGCCCCGTTGGGTTTGAACTTGTCAGCCCCGCTGCATGTGGCCAGCACCCTAACCACTGGCCTACGGGCACTGAGCCTACATTTCAGTATTCTGATAACCATTCTACTATCAAGGTCTCTTGCTTTTTTATGCTGTACATCTTTCTACCATTGTATTTCTTTACTCATACCACATAATGTGAGGGCATATGGAAGGATAGATTAAAATATCTAAACGACGAAAAACCTGGGGAAACAGGAGGAAACGAGGTCAACAGCAAGAGGGCTATTTTCAGGGGGCAGAAAGCTAACTGGAGCAAAATGAAAGAATTCATACACTATATGTTTCCTCTACGTAAGCAGTATACGAAATATCTTTTAGATTAGTCATGTTGCTTTGAGACTTTTCCATGTTTCCTCTAGACAACAGTCAATGTTCGCCTGCTGTCTGATGAATAAACATGCTGTGACTAGCTTTAAGGAAACGCCTGTCATGTTCCAAGGAAAAATGACTTCTCCGCCCTTAAATCAGAAAAACTGTACAACTCTCATTCATTAGTTACAACGATTTTCCCCTAACATTTCTATTTGTGGAACATTCGGGTTCTAGTGAGGGCATTTCTGCATTCAGATTAACTAAGAAATACCAGAAACTGAGTTGTGGGGACACTTGGAAGAAAAAGTTATACTGCAGCAAACTACATCTGAGACGCTTCCCACTTCAGAAGCTCAACTACCACCCAAGTCGTTCCTGCCAAGGTTATTTACCAAGACCAAGGTTATTTTCAGGTTCTCCTCATCTCCAGCAGAACTACCTGTTCTCATTACTGTTTACACAAACGCTTAGCAGGGTGGTCATTAGCATATCTGGCAGGAAGACCTGCTTCATTTAACATTAACTTACCATGTGACAGCCCCCTCCCCTCCAATCTCTCCTCAAACACGTGAGAATAAAAAGTACAGCCGTTTGCGATCTCACTTTGCACTTGGTTTTGGCCCCAGCAATTGGCCACAGGCACACACACCCCCAATCAGAGGCGCGCACCCCGCCCGCTCCCGGAACTGTCAGGCGGGCTGGGCTGACAGCTGGCACACCCTCCCGGCGCCCTCGGCTTGCAGAAAGCCCCTTCCTTACAATCACCTTGACGTTGCTCACCTGCCTAGGCCTCGGCCTTTGGCCAAGGAAACTTTTTTCCTCCCTTCCCAGGAGCTCGCTTACAGGTACCGTCCACTGCTCCTCCCGGGTCGCAACAAGGGGCCCTTTGTTAGCATTTTTGCTCCCGGACTCCTCACCCAATTCCTGGCATTCAGCTCGCCTTCCGCAACCCAGGGCAGTCCCAGTGGGAAAGCAATCAAAAATCTCCCCCAGACCTCACCCCGGCTGCCTCCGAGAAGGCCGGGAGGAAGCAGCCTCCTCCGCCGCGCGCCGGGCGGCCAGGGAGTCAGGCCGCTGGCAGGGCAGCGAGTGGCCAGCCAGGTAAACGGCTGAGGCCTCGCTGCCCTTGCTGTCCCCGGGAGCGGCCCCGCGGCGCGCTGGGCTTACCCTGCCGGGGCGGCGGGCGGCGTGGGCACCGCCGGGGCGTCCTGCGGGAGCGGGTCTCGGCGGTCCATCGCCCTGCCGGGCGCTGCACGGGCTCCAGCTCGGAGGCGGCGCGTCACTGCTGGGGTGGGAGAGGCCGGCGGGTCAGGGCGGGACGCGCGCCTTCCCGCGGCCGGAGCTGGGCTGGCCGCGCGTCAAAAGCCCGCCCGAGCCTCCCAGCCCGGCCGGCCCGCCTCCCGGGTGCGCTTCCACCTGCGGGCCCGACTCCCAGCCCGCGGGCGCCGGGAGCCGCGGCGGCGGGAGGCGGCGCTGCAGCCCCCGCCCCGTGGGTTTACTGGGTAGCCATTTGGCGCCTCTCGGGAGGGAGAGGAGCTGCCGAGCTGGGAGAGGAGGAGGAGGAGGAGCGGGGCCGGGCGCACCGGCACCGCCGCCACGCCGGCAGCGCGCTCCCGGGCTCCTCCGACAGAGTTTGCACAAGCGAAACGCCCTGGGTAAACTTTTCCCGAAGAAAAGTTGAGAGAGCTAATCTCTCTTTTCCCACCCGGGACTCCTACTTTCTTGTCAAAAGGAGACAGTAGCTCGTGTGTTTCCTCGCGGCTTCCTCTCCTCTCTGCCCTCCCCTCGCAGCTCGGCACAGCCGGGGCTTGAGTGGGGAGAGCGCGGCAGCCTCTCCGAGTTCGCCCAGCGCCGGCCGGGCCGACTCGGCGCCTTCCCTGCGCTCGGGGCCTCTGCTCCAGCCTGCTCGCACTCACCCTGCCCCATCCCGCTGCCCAGAGCCCGGGAGCTCGCCGCCGCCGCCGCCACAGGCCTCCGAGAAGTGGGGACCAGCGCGGCGGCATCGGAGCGAGCGAGTCAGCCAGCCGGGGAGAGGAACGGGGCGGGGTGGGCCGCGAGCGAGTCGGAATTTCCTCCCCCAGGGCTTCGGGTATTTGGGGTCCTGCTTCCCTAGCCCAACGGAAAGGAAGCTCCCGGGAGAGGCGTTCCCATTCCCACCGCTAGGGCGTCGCTTCGGGGAGGCGTGCGCGCCCAGCCGGACAGGTGGGGACAGAGGGAGGGTTCTCGAGGGAAGGACCCGGCCGCCGCAGATGTGAGGACACAAACTCGCAGAACGGGGCCCGCGGCTTGTCCTCCCTGCAAACTGACCTTCCACAGTATGGGTTATTTTTTACAATTTGGGTTTTCAACTTGACCTCTAAAATTGCTCTCCTGTTAAAAAGCCACCTGTGACACTAGGCTGTTTCTAATAGCTGGCAGGTTTAAGCTTGCCCTGTCCTCAGAGGCGTAGTTCTTTCTGTTAAGTCTGTTAACAGCTGCCACATGAGGGCTGGACAACATCATGTCTAATGACAATCTAGGAATTGAATGATACAGATTTTATTCACCTCTTGAAAGTTATACTAAAGGAATCACATTGACACAGCTCTATGCGTGTCTGTAAGCTTTTGTTTCCACGGGCAAGCTGTTTAGTTGATTCTTTATTGCTGACAACTATGTTTGTGTATCTCCTATATAATCTGACTAGCACCAATTGGTGCAAGCCACTTTGATGGGTCCAAAATTGTGCTTTCAGAAAAGTATGTGAAATTTAAAAATTAACTTCAAACTATAGCTTAAAAATAATATTTGGTGGCTGTGCAAGGTGTCGATAGCCTGTAATTCTAGCACTTTGAGAGGCTGAGGCGGAAAGATTGCTTGAGGCCCGAAGGTCAAAACTAGCTTGAGTAATACAATGAGACCTCATCTTTGCAAAAAATAGAAAAATTAGTCCAGGTGGTGGAACCGGCCTCGTCCCAACTACTCTGGAGAAGGAGGGAAGAGGATCACTTGAGAGGAGGAATTTAAAGTTGAACTAAACTGTGATGATGCCATTACACTGTAGCCTGAGCAACACAGTGAAATACTGTCTCAAAAAGAAAAAAAAATGCTGGGAAGCGGAAGCAGGTGGATTGCGTGAGCTCAGGAGTTGAGAACAGCTTGAGCAAGAACAAGGCCCCATTTCTACTAAAATTAAAAAACTAGCCAGGTGTTGTGGCAGGTTCCTGTAGTTTCAGCTTCTTGGGAGCTGAGGCAAGAGACTGATGTGAGCTATGATGCTAGGGCACTATACCCAGCGCTACAGAGTGAGACTCTTGTCTTAAAAAAGAAAAAAGAAAGAACTGGTGGAGAATCTTACAAGAAAGAGCATCTTGAAGGGGACCTCCACGATGGTATTTAGATCAAGTAACAGATCTGAGTTGCCACTTTACCCTGATAGAATAACATTTAGAAGATTTTAAAATTAAATTGGTATTCAGAACCAATGCTTGGCCAAATGCTTCTTTAGCTGTTTATCCACTGTAACAACCAAAAAGACTACTGAACTAAATGCATAGTAATGTGCCATTTGTCTGTTATACCCACGCATTAAATATTTATTATTTTTACAGTGCATAATATAGTCCTTTCAGTATATCTTAAACATGAACCCCCAAAATGGCTTATTTGGATTACAGGATTAGAACCCTGTCAGAAAGGGCTACTTTTAGATGTTTTAACTAATATTAATCAAAGCAATTTATTTAAACGCCTATGCATTAGTCTTTGAACAATAACTCAGGTTAAACAATTTCATGAATCATTTATGCCTCTAAATAACTAGTTTTTACAGTTGGTTACACAGACAATGCTGCAAATATTGAGTAACAGTGAAACTACTTAAAGTCTATAACTTTCAATCACAAGATCAAGGTTAAAACTTTAATTAGTATCAACTTTAATTTATGACATACTAGTAATTCTATGGACCCCATTAGGCTAATCTTAAACATAACACATTGTCATAACATTTCATAACCGCTGAAGGTATTTCCTGTCCTCCTCCTTGTCCTAGGCATCAGGGAAAATTATATGCTCCACCTCATTAGAATTAAGTACGACCAGGTGACTTTGGTAAATGAATTGTGAGCAGACAGGAACTATCTTATTTCCTGGTAGAATCTGTTAAGCCAGTGCTCTTTTCCCTGGCTGCTCAGTCGTGAAAGCATATATTAAAATGGAGGAAGCACAAGACTGAAGGATGCTGGAATGCTGAGTCCATTGCCCTCAGCACAGCTACCCTGGAGAGTCCCAGGACCCACAACAGAATCTGCATAAGCAAGAAATAAGATTATGCTAGTCTAAACCACTGAAATACTGGAATGATGTGTTGCCCAGTATTACTTAGCCTACCTTGGGCCTTGCCATGTTTGACAACTTTCAGAACCAAGACTAGACTTGATGTTTCTCTCCTGTGGTACTGAACTATCCTCACTGTAGTCAGCTGGTTACAGAGTTCATTAGCAAAATGGGAATCACAGTTACTATAAATCTTTTCACATAATGGTAGAAAACTTCCACTTGCCAGTCTTCCCCTCTAATTATGCAGAACTGTTTCAAACATGTGCAAATTTCCTAGGTTTAACTTAATTTCCCAGTTTGGAAATCTCCCCTCTCCCCCTGCTATCCAATTTTTTTTTTGGCTTGAACCCGCCATCTCCAGTATATGGGAACAACGCCCTACTCCTTTGAGCCACAGGCACCACCCCTTGCTATCCAATTTTTGATACATTGGTCAGGTATTCTCACCTTAGGAAGACTTTGCTGAGTGCCTAGGTAGAAGTAACCCTTTCCTTTCTTGAGCCTCCAGTAGATTCTGTGCAGTGGGGCAAGTCCCCATGACACTTTGTTTCAGTTATTCACTTACACAATAGCAGAGTTAGAGGGGTTTGTGCCTAACAAATGATGCCTTATCCTTTGTCTCCTGAAATGTAGCTTGAACACAGAAGGCTCTCCATAAGTATTTGTAGATTGAATAAAGGAATAAAGAAAACCCTAAAGAAACCTTTACAACTCAGGAGAATCCTTAGACTCTAAGGGGGCTCTAAGGCAGGGGCTGGCAGACCATTCTAAATGAACAGATGGAAGATGAGTTTGTTCTAGGAGGGAGAGAAGACTTACCTCTCCACATGGTTCCCTGATGGGATCGGTGCCAAAATCAACAGGTAGAACGAAGGTCCCTTTAGCTATATATCTCTTTTATAATCTAGGTTTCAGTTTCCTGTGGGAGAGTAATAACAAGAAAAGAGGTTTACATGTTTACAAGCTTAATAAATATATACCCATATGTCATCCTCTAAAAAGAAGCAAATACTGATTAAAGTAGGCCATGAAAAAATGTTAGAAAATAGAACTGGGGTTTGTCTAAATACTTTTGAAAATTATTCGGAACGATGAAAAAAAATTAAATGTTTAAGTATATTTTTATTCAACTATATGTGCTGCTGAAAAGATTTGAAACTGAAAAATCACACTATCTAATAAAACCTAGAGGAAGTGCCTCTTTTATGTCTTCTTAGATAGTGTAGGTATGTGTGTTTTGTTTTGTTTTGTTTTAAAAAAAGTCTTACTTTATCACCCTTGGTAAAGTGCTATGTCGTCACAGTTCATAACAACCTCCAACTCCTGGGCTTGGGCGATTCTCTTGCCTCAGCCTCCCGAGTAGCTGGGCCTACAGGCGCCCGCCACAACACCCAGCTATTTTTTGTTTGCAGTTTGCCCTGGGCTGGGTTTGAACCTGCCACCCCGGGTATATAGGGCTGGCACCCTGCCCACTGAGCCACAGGCGCCGCCCATGGCTGTGGTTTTATAAAGTAAGATCAGAGTCGTTGCATGTCAATTTTAATGAATGCCTTATAATTTATTATAATTTTATCTTTGCATAGTTCTTTTATACATTAGAGTCCTCTCACATATGCTAAGACACAGAAAATGTCAGAATTCAGTGTCCCCTATATCAGTGCTCATTGAGAGAGCTTTATTCCTATGTACCAAAAATCTTTTCCTTTGGCTGCTGGGAATCCTAGGCCAGGTTTTATACTTAATCACTACTCTCCAAATCTTTCTCATTGGTATGTCTGATTTTCCCTCCCTTCCTATTCCTATTTATAATTTATTCTGATGCCTGTTTTCAAACTTCTCAACAATTGTTTAACAAGTGAGAATAAATTTAAGAGCTATGTGTGCTGAAATATAGTTTCTTTGACACAAAAATGGCTATTTATGAAAGATTCTAGCTGTAATAAAAACTGGTTAAGGTTCGTTTTACTCGCTGAACTTACTTCAAGGACAATTGTTAATTACAAATTTTAAAAGCAAATATGGCAATTAAAGGCTGTATTGTTTATGTAGTTTTTGTTTTT